ACGGTGGGATGCCAAGAAGCAGATAAACAAAGAAGAGTTCTTACCAAGTACCGTATTTTTTGCTCTATAAGACTCACTTTTTCCCTCCCAAAATGTAAGGGGAAATGTGTGTGCATCTTATGGAGTGAATGCAGGCTATGCAGCTATCCCAGAAGCCAGAACAGCAAGAGGGATTGCTGCTTTCACTGCGCAGTGATCTCTCTTGCTGTTCTGGCTTCTGAGATTCAGAATATTTTTTTTCTTGTTTTCCTCCTCCAAAAGCTAGGTGCGTCTTGTGGTCTGGTGTGTCTTATAGAGCAAAAAATGCAGTAGTTTACAGTGGTACCTCAGGTTACAGACGCTTCAGGTTACAGACTCCGTTAACCCAGAAATATTACCTTGGATTAAGAACTTTGCTTCAGGATGAGAACAGAAATCGCGCAGCGGCAGCGGAAGGCCCCATTAGCTAAAGTGGTGCTTCAGGTTAAGAACAGACCTCCAGAACGAATTAAGTTCTTAACCTGAGGTACCACTGTACCTTGTTACTTCTCCCTTTGACTTGGGACAGCCAGATAAACGTTTTTTCAAGCAATAAGGCTTTAACCTCAGTGCTGTCATTGAGGTATCTAGGCACACTACCCAGGGCAGGGACTCCCAATATTCAAGATGCTATTTTTACCTGTAAAGTCCTAAATGGCTTGTGTGCCTTTTCCTTAGCAGCTGATCTGTTCTAAATACGCTTGAGCTTTCAGGAAAGGGCAGGACGCCAATGTATATTAAGCAGTACATGAAAGGAATACCAGCTGAAAAGAGCCAAGGCAAAGGCCTGGGGTGATACTAGGAATCTGTGGCAGGATATCTGTACTCTTGATGAGCGGAACAGAAGAACTGCCTTACTGCAGATATAGTGTCTCTGAACATGGAAGCTCCATTTAGCTCCCATGGGTGCTAGACCTTTTCTCCATAGAATCCTCTTACTCCTTTTCGACAGGCCTCTAAACCACCGGCCATCTCCACATCTTGGGAGCGGCAGGTTCTAGGGAGGGTGTCCGTTGAAGTGTGGCATATGCACCTTTTGCAACGAAAAGCCTGCCCTCCGGAACCACATCCTAGCTTCCTGAGCCAGTGTGGTGTAGTGGTTAAGAGCGATAGACTCGTAATCTGGGGAACCGGGTTCGCGTCTCCGTTCCTCCACATGCAGCTGCTGGGTGACCTTGGGCCAGTCACACTTCTCTGAAGTCTCTCAGCCCCACTCACCTCACAGAGTGTTTGTTGTGGGGGAGGAAGGGAAAGGAGAATGTTAGCCGCTTTGAGACTCCTTAAAGGGAGTGAAAGGCGGGATATCAAATCCAAACTCCTCCTCTTCTTCTTCTTCTTCTTCTTCTTCTTCTTCTTCTTCTTCTTCTTCGTGAGCAGCCACGAAACAAACTGGCTTTATCCTCCCCCTTTCTCTTCTCCCGCAGTGGTCCCCAGCGCTGCCACCATCATCATTGTGGTCTGTGTGGGCTTCCTGGCGCTCATGGTGATCCTGGGCGTCCTACGCATCCACTCCTTGCACAGGCGAGGGGGCGAGCGCGAGGGCGCAGGCGAGTCCGCGGGGAGCCACGGAGGTGCCCAGGCCAAGGAAAGCGAGATGTTCTGGGACGACTCTGCTCTCACCATCATCGTCAACCCCATGGAGGTGAGTGGAGGGAGGGAAGATTGGGGAGGGAGCAGGGCAGGAAAGAGACTCCACTTCTGACACCAGTGTTGCAAGCAACACCAATCAGTGCCAAGCTGTGCAAGATGGGTGACACCTGGCTTGAGAGCAGTACATGTGAAAAGGATCTAGGAGTCTTGGTTGACCACAAACTTGACATGAGCCAACAGTGTGACGCGGCAGCTAAAAAAGCCAATGCAATTCTGGGCTGCATCAATAGGAGTATAGCATCTACATCAAGGGAAGTAATAGTGCCACTGTATTCTGCTCTGGTCAGACCTCACCTGGAGTACTGTGTCCAGTTCTGGGCACCACAGTTCAAGAAGGACACTGACAAACTGGAACGTGTCCAGAGGAGGGCAACCAAAATGGTCAAAGGCCTGGAAACGATGCCTTATGAGGAACGGCTAAGGGAGCTGGGCATGTTTAGCCTGGAGAAGAGGAGGTTAAGGGGTGATATGATAGCCATGTTCAAATATATAAAAGGATGTCATATAGAGGAGGGAGAAAGGTTGTTTTCTGCTGCTCCAGAGAAGTGGACACGGAGCAATGGATCCAAACTACAAGAAAGAAGATTCCACCTAAACATTAGGAAGAACTTCCTGACAGTAAGAGCTGTTTGACAGTGGAATTTGCTGCCAAGGAGTGTGGTGGAGTCTCCTTCTTTGGAGGTCTTTAAGCAGAGGCTTGACAACCATATGTCAGGAGTGCTCTGATGGTGTTTCCTGCTTGGCAGGGGGTTGGACTCGATGGCCCTTGTGGTCTCTTCCAACTCTATGATTCTATGATATTCCAGGTTGAAGACGTGGCAGAGGCTGTTGTAGCTTTAAGAAATATGACTTATTCATACATTTACACCTGAATCTAGATGGAGGGCAGGGGCATATTGTGGGTGTGCCAGTGGTGCCGTGGCCGCAGGTGCACAACTTTTGAGGGGGCACAAACCAGGTGCACCCATGCAGATGACCCCAGAGAAGCCCAGCCCAGTGCTCCTCTTCACCAGCCAAGGGCCACGTTGGCCGGCCAGGCTCCCCGCTTGCTCCAATGGGGTCACTGCAGTGGGGAGGGCTGGGCTGGACCCCCCCATGCCCAGCAAGTGCACCTGCCCTAGGCGGCGACAACCAATGCTACACCGTTGGGAGTGAGTCCAGATCTTACAGCAGTCACCTCAAGAGGGTCTTGTTCCCCACAGCACTGGAGTCCAAGGTGGGGCGAAAATAGGCTTTATTTCACCTCGGTCAAAGACCCAGTTTGGCACCCCCTTCACACACATTTGTGTACACACACACATAGGCTGGGAGTCCCAGGGGTGCCCCTCTGAAGACTTAAACTGGGGCCAAAAAACCTGGCTGGCCTCCCCGTAGCTACGGTTCTGTCCAAGGCATCTCTCCCAGCCTGCCTTCAGCCAGCCAGCCAAAATCGTTCTGGCCTTTTCCCTGGCTATTCCAAGCCTTTTGCTCAATTGTCACCTCCTCCTTCTCTTTAGGGATGCAGGTGGCGCTGTGGTCTAAACCACTGAGCCTCTTGGGCTTGCCGATCAGAAGGTCGGCGGTTCGAATCCCCGCGACGGGGTGAGCTCCCGTTGCTCAGTCCCAGCTCCTGCCAACCTAGCAGTTCGAAAGCATGCCAGTGCAAGTAGATAAATAGGTACCACTGCGGTGGGAAGTTAAACGGCGTTTCCGTGCGCTCTGGTTTCCGTCACTGTATTTCATTGCGCCAGAAGCGGTTTAGTCATGCTGGACACATGACCCGGAAAGCTGTCTGTGAACAAACGCCAGCTCCCTCGGCCTGAAAGCGAGATGAGCGCCACATCCCATAGTCGCCTTTGGCTGGACTTAACCGTCCAGGGGTCCTTTACCTTTTTACCTTCTCTTTCTAGTCATACCAGAGCTGCCAGGAGAGGGCAGCAGAGGCTTCTGGGTCGACCATCAGAGAAGTAGCTGAAGAGGAGGAAGAGGAAAGCAGTGACTCTGAATCACCGGACAGCCCAGGCAGCGACGTGGCCGATGACCAGCGCATTGTGGGCAAGCACGATGCCCCTTGCCGCTTCTAGAGGCATGCGATGGATGGGGGAGAGGAACGCCAGCGAGAGAGGGAGGTCCTGCTTATGATTAGTCACTGGGGGCGGGGGTATGTGTCTGGCCTCCCCCCCTTTTCTCTTCCCGCCCCCCCCCCCGCTGCATTCTCCGGACCTCTTGTATTTGCACAGTGGAGGCTGACCCCCAAGACATGAGATTTTGGCGCATGAGGCAGAGAATTCAATCCAACCTTCCCTTCCCACGAATTAACACGGAGCACAATCCACCGGGAAGTTCTCCTGCGCAAGTGTCTTTAAAATGGAACAGAAGCTGTGCAAGAGCATCACGGTGGATTAATGGTGCCTCGTGCCTCAGATTTGGCCCCCTCCCCAAAATAAAATCTGGCTCTCGAGATGTCCGCTTGACCTTGCCCCAGCATAGGCCCAGTTCTGCCTTTTGATAGCAGCGCCCAGGGGGAGGAGCCTCTCTTTGACCAGGTCCTTGGCTCCTCCCACCTCTCCAGCCGCTTGCTTCAGCTCAAGTGGGGCAGAGCCCCCTAACTCTGGTCTCCGGCAGAGGACCCCCTTCGCTCCAGAGAAGGGTAAACTGGATTGGCATGATTAAAGGGAGAGGAGCGGGAATTGGGGCGGCGGCAGCAAACCCAGGGGTACGACAAGACGCCCCAAGATACTATATATATATATATTGTATATTTTTTCAATGTCGTTGTTTGAGGTTCATTCTTGTTTTCTTGTTTGATGCAAAGAAACAAACAAACAAAAAAGACCTGCAGCTTGTGTCGCTTTGTAAAATTGTCAATAATATTCCAATAACGAGTGAAGGAAATACATGATGTGAAGAAGAAAAAATGGAGCAGATTTTAAAATAAAAAAGGATTTAAAAATGTAAGGTCTGGAATAATGGGCGTTCTTCCTTCAGTGAGATAGCTTTCTTCTCTTAATAACTTCTCCACCCCATGCAGGAATTATAAGAACAGAAAAGGGATAAAAGGCTGAGGGTCTTCCAATATCTCATTAGTAAGAAAAGGATCTGGTTGCCCCAATGGTTGCTTCCGGCGATGGTTCAATAAGAGGGTCTCCCCATCCTCTGGGCTCCTGGCCGAGTCTTAACAATGTAGAAGAGTCTGGCACCAGATCCTAGTAAAGAGCAATCACAGAATTGTGGAGTTGGGAGGGACCACCAGAGTCATCTAGTCCAGCCCCCTGCCATGCGGGAATCTTTTGCTTAGCTTGCTGCTCGAACCCAGAACCCTGAAATTAAAAGAGTTCTCATACTCTACCAAATGAACTGTGTTAACATTGGGGTTTTTTATTAATAAAATACTTTATTAAAAAACACAAAGAAACATTAACTTAAAACATCTAATAATTTCGGTTTGTCTAATAATGTGTTGCATCCTTACTCCTATGCAACAAATGGAGTCAGAAGTCAGTGAACCCCCATAAAGCTATGACCAGGAGGACACACCAAATTTCACCTTCAGGCTGCTCTTCACCCCATCGCAGCGCAGCAACCTCCTGCCCCCTTGAAAGATACCCCATCCTAGATGCCTTTCCCCATGACTCTCCTGTTAGGGAGGCAAGCTCTACAGTGGAATACATACATAAGCAAGGCAATAGAAAGTAAGCCTGCCAGTTGTCCACAGCGAACGGTTTCTCTTTACAGCAGGGACCACAACCCCCAGGGCTCTTTGACCATGTTGCTTCTGTGCTTCCGTGAGCAGGGGCCAGGAGCTGACCCTGAACTTCCAAGGGCACAGCTGTCCTGCCTGCCTTCAGGAGATGGCAAGTTGCCAGCGGCAAACTCAAAAGGGAAGGAGGGAAAGATCAACGTCTTCGGCAAGAGTGGGAGGCCCATTGCAGGGTGTCACTGCCAGGGGAGTCCTCCCTTTGAGACTAACCACTGGTGCACCGCTCTGCTTCCAGGAGAGACTCCCCTCCTGCTTTTCTTTCATTTTACGTGGCTTCCGTACAAGCCCTCTGCCTTCCCGGCCAACTGGCAAGCCGGACTCGGGCCACAGGGGAAGTAGAGCAGAACGCTTTCCTCCTCTGCCCTGAATTGCACAACCAGCACACTGGAGCCTGGCCTGGCAGGGGCACCGGGGACGAGCGTTTGCCAACCGAGCCGCCCTCTGTACGCATACATTTAGGCACTGTTCCTTCTGCATGTAAAACTCTTGCATCTGTCCAACTGCATCTCTGAGTGGTCCCTTGCCCACTGATGTCTTTTAAGGCGTCTGATGAAAGGCCCAGCACAGCTGAAGCCATCCTTCAGTTACTGAGGCTCGCAAACAAAAGATTACAGACAGGCCACTAGCTTCCAAGCCTTTCCCACGGCATCATCGAACCATGGAACGGGGAAATGTGATCATCGTTATCAAGGCTTCACATTCCTAAAGGCACATGCCAACAATAGCCAATTCTCAGGGAGGGGGAAGCATCACATTTTGGTTGCCAAATGAATGATGAGTTCATAGGTGACCATGACGATGGCCGCGTTGGGGATCTGGCGGGTCAGATGAGTCAGGAGCCCACGGTAAAGAGCGCCAGGGCCCTCTTCCCGGACCACAAGCTGCAGAGTCTGCACAAGGGAGCGGTAACGCGAGCCCTCTTCTCTCAGCCGCGTCCGGATGACCTCTGGAGCAGAAAGGAAAGAGAAAAGAGATTAGTTATTCAGTCCTCTGGAGAAAGCTCCTCCAGTTCTGGCCAGACAGGTTTGTGGGGTGAGGGTGGGGGAGCCTGGAACACAGAGCAGCTCACCGTGTGGGTAGGCAATACACGAGGCACATGTTTTGGAAACGGCAGCTGCTGCCATCAGCCCAAGGAAGTCCTGGCTGCTTGGGGAAAAGATATGAGTCGGAGTCAGGAACGACCGATGCTCTCTGAGTCGCTGCTTCAGGGCCTCGTAGATAACAAAATGGATGATGGTTTCAGAGACGCCAGCGTACGAGGCAGTGATCCCACGGTAAAAGCCTCGCAGGCCCTCCGTGTGATAAATGCGCATGGCGCATTGGAAGCCGCTGGTGCGTCGCTCGTCTTTGGCCCTGCAGAGAACAGAAAACGCGGTCGGGAACTGCTGAGCTCTACTCATTTAATGCACTAAACTGCATTAAAAGTGAAATGTTGTGCCGTGGCAACTTGAATTCCAAGAAACTGAATTCCGCAACCTGTACAAATCGCAGAAATCCAGAGACACTGTGCATGTTCATTGTTTCTTATTCTGCATGCTTGATTTGGCTTCTGGCCAGTGAGGGGGCAGGAGGATTATTGCCCCACCTTCTAACCATGTGAAATCTGACCCAGAACTCGTTTGGCTACTGAGATGCACCCGTCATTGGGCATGCTTTTGCATATTCATTTGCAACTTCAAAGAGATTAAGGGGGGGGAGGAGAGACTTGGGTTCTTAGGCGGCAGAATTCTGTGCTCCGTGCCAAATTCTGAGCTTCGGTGGAATTGCAGCATACACCCAATCGCCCTCCTGCCATTATGTGCAAGTGGCTTGTCTTGCCTACCAGTCTTCCATTATGTCCGGAATCAAATTCTGCCAGTCCCGGTGGCTCAAAACAATGTTATGAACCGGTACACAGCCAGGATTTCCTTACCTGGCTTCCAGCTGCATTCTGGTCTTCACCAGCCAGATGGGGTTTGTCAAAGTGGAAGAAGTGACTCCTGCAGGAAGGAGAAGGTACCAAGGTGAAACTTTTGCTTTGTGGAAGACATTTGCAATTTGTAGGGACCTGTTCTGAGGTTCTCTGGCGCCTAATCCAAAGTTTTCATATCCAGCTGGTCTCAATGGGATGAAATTACAAGCTTAACTGTTTCATAGATTTCAGTGGCGGCTGTGCAAGAGCTTAACTCTGACTGTGAGTTCTACCCATGGATTTTAGCTTCCGCTCTGCCTTCCCCTTTGTCACTCGCCACCTCTGCCTGACCTCATTTCTTAGCACTTAAAACAGAAAAAAGGAGGCAACGGGCTGCTTCAAACCTGAAAGGTCCCCTTCACAGATGCAAGGAAGAAAATGCATTCACCCATACAGTGGTACCTCGGTTTTCGAACGTAATCCGTTCCGGAAGACCGTTCGAGTTCCAAAATGTTCGAAAACAACTCAGTATGGAAGCCTCAAAACGGAAAACTCCATATGGAAGCTGCGTTTCCGGTTCGACTTCTGAGGCGTGTTTGAAAACCGAAGCATTTATTTCTGGGTTTATGGCGTTCGAAAACTGAAATATTCGTCAATGGAGACGTTTGAAAACCGAGGTGCCACTGTATTATCAGGCATATATGAAGATGGTACGCATCCCTGCTTTGCCACATATATACAACCCGCTGCCAGCTGCAGCTTCCCAACATGTGTAACCCCAGAATTTGAAGGTGTGCGGTTATGCCACTCATCTGAACTCCAGCTGAGGTCGCTGCAGCACACTGGGCAGAGAAGGGTGCAGCAGTGTCAAGGTTGGCACACTGCGGGATCTACCATGCCAACCATGCTGCTGCTATGCTCCTCTCCATCCAGCTGTGCTGCAGTGACATAACCAGGAGGTCAGGTAAGCAGTGCTGCTCTGCCACACTGTCTGCTGCTGCATAGCACACATGCACAAATGTGTATCTAGGAGTCTTCCTTTACTCCTTGCTGCGGTAAATCATATTTATTTTTTTTAAAAGCCTTATCTTGACCTTTCTTCAAAGCTCAGAACACAACAGGTGAAATGACCCGAGGACACCCAAACAGATGTGCATTTTACCTGCACAGGCTGCCGAAAGCATGTGAACCTTCTTAGACTCTGGCGCGAACACCGTGTTGAGTTTCTCCTTGGCGCCCGAATATGCAGCAAAATAAATGGCCCTTGAAAAGGGGAGGGAAAGGAATTGAGTCCTTTTAAGCTACTTAACCCACAGAAGCAACAACAAGCAATCTGCTCTAGATTCGCCCCGCTAAGCCTGCGCTCTTGCCCAGATTCAGGGGGTTTAAAGGCTGAAAGCAGCTCTCGATTCCTTCTCATGTGAATGTGACGTCTGTGGTGGCCAGAAATGCTCATTTGCATGCTTACTTGTCTCTCCTCCGGATTCTGCTCTAAACGAACAATAATCTGCTGTTTACAGGAAAAGCGTCGAAAAGGCTCAGAGGCCGTTTGAGCCTTTGTATAATATAAAAAAACTAGACAAACGCATGACTCAAGTACTCCGTTGTTTGGTCACCCACCAGCAGACTGCACAACCCAAGGTCATGGGTCTCAGATGTGGCCCCCATTAGCCCATATCGTGATATCGGTTTCATTGTTTTTGACGTGGCAATATATCATGAATCAGGGTGGGTGGGTGTGCACGCACTATACAAAAATCACAATGCCAGAAAACCATGAAGCCAGCCAATGCCTCTACATAGCTCCATCCTTATTTCAGACATCGCGATATATCACGATGTTTAGCTGGTGCTCTATCACGATGTTGAAAACCAGGTATCACCCAACCCTAGCAGGAGACTTCTGGACCCTTTTGAAGGTTCATTTCAATGAGAATCCCTGTGAAAGTTCCGTCTGGAGAACCAGGAACAGGAACCCTGCCCTTGTAAACAGGATTTTACCTGGAAGGTGCAACTCCGACTAGATTGGGCCCCAGGCCTCGGAAGAGGGAACGGATGCCTTCTTTCTCTAAGATGGTTCTGTGAAAGGAGAGAACGAACGAGAAGGTCAGTTTCCGCCCTCTGCCTCGGGGGGCAGGAAAAGCTGCCGGCGCCACCGCAAGCGGAGGTACAAAACAAGGGAATCCCACCCATGGGGACCTCACAAGGATCCCCCACAGCTATTCCTGTCTCGGCCGCTCACCTCAAGAGCTGAAGAGCCCCTATGGAGGGCAGTCCGGGGCGGATCAGTGCTCCGTTCACCCCTTGCATCTGCACCGCAGGAAGGCACAGCGGCCTCACGGCCAGCGAGGAAGACTGCAGGCGGGTCTTCACCACCTCCAAAGGGCAGGTCAAGATGGCTCCAGCCGTGCCACCAAATCTGGGAAGAGGGAAGAGGAAATGCAGGGTCAGGGCAAGGTTCAGAGGCAGCGTTCAAAATTAGCCATGCGCCTTTGGCACCCGACCATCGGCCACTAGCAACCAAGTGAAGATGCCTAGGAATTCGAGAAAAGGGCAACAGAGATTTTAAGAAAGACTGGGAACCATTTATGTTATACCTACAGAAACAAGGTAAAGATATGGACTCACTATCAGGTTTTGACTAAACATTTACAATTAAAAAAATAACAACAACAGGAATTATAATGATGATGTGAAAGGGAGAGGAGTATAATAATAATTAATTTAAAGATCTTAAAATTAGGTAAAGGGACCCCTGACCATTAGGTCCGACTGGGGTTGTGCACTCATCTATAGGCCGAGGGAGCCAGCGTTTGTCCACAGACAGCTTCCGGGTCATGTGGCCAGCATGACCGCTTCTGGCGAACCAGAGCAGTGCACGGAAACACCGTTTACTTTCCCGCCGGAGTGGTACCTATTTATCTACTTGCACTTTGTGCTTTTCAACTGCTAGGTTGGCAGGAGCAGGGACCGAGCAACGGGAGCTCACCCCATCTCTGGGATTCAAACTGTCGACGTTCCGATCAACAACCCCTAGGCTCTGTGGTTTAGACCACAGCACCACCCGCGTCCCTATCTTAAAATTAAGATATATGCCTACATGAAGAGGTCATTCCTCAATGCTTCAAAGGCTCTTCGCAGCAGGAGTGCCCCCAAAGTCTCATGAGAAGGGGCTTCATTTGTCTATCTATTAAGATTTTCTTAACCTGCCCTCCCCCAGAAGGTCACAGGGCAACTGACATCAGTGGCAGTATAAGCAAATTATGATTCAGGCATGCAGTCCAAATTCTAAATGCTATCCACAAGAATCACCAAAACTGTCTGAAATTTCGTTATCAGTGTGAAGAATCTATGGCTCTCTAGTTAATGTACATTTTAAACTAGACCAGGAGCCTGGGAGACGAAAAGGGGGGACACTGTATGACCAGATAAAAACTGAAAAGACCTCAGATAGGAATACAGGGAATCTAGATATTTTCAAATTGGGTTTGAAACGCTGCCTCTTTTGAAAGTCTTGCGCTCTCGAAGAAGGCCTTTGCTCTTTGAGTCATTGCCTTCAAGCTGTTAGAATCTTCGTGGGATATTATGGGAAGTTCTGTTTCTCTACGGGGGGGGGGGGCATCTCATATTTAGAAAATGTAAAAAGAAATATCGGAGTGGAAGATAGATCTCATTATTACAATGAAATTAAACTGTAGATTTTGAGCAAACGGTTCTGAGGTCCAACTAAGAGGACGGCAAGGCCTATGAGGATGTGGTGGCGTTTGCTAAAGCCCCGAGGAAAGCAGAAAATCTTCAGGGGGGGGTCCATCATCCTAGCTCTGAGTTGCATCAAAATGGGCTGTACATTCACAGCATAGTATAAATGCTTATAGTATTCTCTCAGTGCAGGAACAGAACATATATGGTTGTACAGTATAATTCTGTAATGAGGATCCAGAGGGGGCGGGGAGAAGTTTTCCAATCGATTTGCACGTTTGGGGAATGATTTGAGATTTCCCATTTCAAAGATAGGAGAGAGTTGGGACAGATCAGGAATATTATTATTATTATTATTATTATTATTATTATTATTAGACTGCTCTATACCCGGGTGTTTCACAACATAAAATCACAAAATGCATAATAGACTGGAAACAAGAACAACCCAATAACACCCCCCCCCCCCCGCTGGCTAGGTTCAATTCTAATCCTTCTAACCTCCTTTGGGTAGGTTTGTGGGTATGGCAGAAGGAGATAGGATCTGCCCATGTGATGCCCACCTGGTGGAAACTCTAGCTCACGTGGCCCTTAAATGTAAAATTTATGATGATCTCCGCCAACAATTCCTAGACCATCTACATATTCCAACATGGAAACCAAAGACAGAGGTTATATGCTTCTTATTACAGGGGGAGAGACCAGGAGCTCACCAAGACAGTAGCTAAGTTCCCCTATTTGATTTTTTGTCACTGAAGTACACTACTACAGGATCCGGCCCTTGCTGGAGACCCACAGAGATGAAATAGATTGCTCGCCTCTTCTTCCCTTTGGCAAATGACTGTACTGTTGAAATGGCGACGAGATCGCACTGGCCTATTTACCGTATTCTGAATGTTTCTTTGTGGTGCCAATAAAGGTTTGATGATGATGAATAACCTCCTCCCCCCCCCCCACATTTAAAAAAGGCGTTGGATGTCGATAGGAACAGGCATCCTTTTTCCTCTTGAAGGCTGCATTCCATTGGGGGTTAATCTATACAGTGGTACCTCGGGTTAAGTACTTAATTCGTTCTGGAGGTCCGTATTTAACCTGAAACTGTTCTTAACCTGAAGCACCACTTTAGCTAATGGGGCCTCCCGCTGCCGCTACCACGCGATTTCTGTTCTCATCCTGAAGCAAAGTTCTTAACCTGAAGCACTATTTCTGGGTTAGTGGAGTCTGTAACCTGAAGCGTATGTAACCTGAAGCGTATGTAACCTGAAGCGTATGTTACCCGAGGTACCACTGTACTAGGGAGCTGTGGGGCTGCTGTGCTAGCTATGTGCAGAGCCAGAAGCACAGAAACCGGCTCTGGATTAATGAATCCGGAATCAAGACAGCTCGGCTTCCGTTTCCACCGCAGCCACCTGAGCTGAGAACTCCCAGCGTGAGGCTGGATTGCTCAGAAGCAATCTCTACTACATTGAACGAGGTTGCTCTCCAACATACAGAAGGATCTGTTCCTTTTGCCGGGCTCCAAAGATCGCCCCGTGCCCGCTGGCTGTGGCGACACGGGGAAGCCTCGCAGCGGAACGAAGCGTGTTGGGCAATGCCAGAATGCAAAGCTGTGACGTTTGGGACACCTCCTCCCCTGTGGACTTTGGAGCCCTGAGCGCCTCTGCTCACAGCAGGCGGGAGCCAAGACGTCAGTGTGCTAATCATTGGCAAATCCAAAGGGTGTCTGTGTGACGCACTGCCAGCGCGCGGGGAGGAGAGGGAGAGCTGGAGGCGGCGGCGGGAGCTGCCCCAATTTGGCTGGGACGTGCTTTGCAGTTTACGCAACCGGCCCCCTTGCTAGGACAGCCCTTAACTGACAGCAGCAGCCTGTGGTTTGGGTTTGACATTAGCTGAGTGAGCGAATCCTGGCAAGGTGAGAGGTTCTCGATTTACCGCTCCACATTCAGGAAGGGTATTCGCCTTGGCGAAGTTTGCACTGGCAAGTGATGCAACAGAGCAGCTGTGGGTGTGTTCAAAGCCATTGCACACCTTTTCGACCCTGAACACAGGCTCCACAGGGACCCCTTGGAACAATCCAGTTCTCCCACCAGGGTGATTTTAACCTGGTGGCCACACCTCACTCTTCACATGCTCAGAGGCTTGCTTTAAAATGTCATGGCTGCGAAGAGTTTTTGAAGCACTGCGGAGTGACCTCTTCGTGTAGGCAAGGGCTGTTGTTGTTTGCCTCTGAATATCCGTCCTGAGCCTCCAAACAGTTAGAAACTGGGAGTCAGTGGCTGAGATGAGATCACTAACCAGTAGCTGGATACCTTGAAACATCTGTCTACACATTCATGTTCTCACTAGCAGCAGACAAGCTTGTGTCTGGCCTGCAATACTTCAGGCAGCAAGCAGGCAGAGCTGACACGACTGGATGCTCTTCCATACAAAAGCAACAATCCCTCTGCGCCAATAATTAGATTATCAGGATGACACATTTTCCCTGACATGCTTGCTTTCTGCTTGCGGGGATAGCATTATTTTATTTTAAAGCAAGGAGAGCTCAACCTTGTGAACTCCCTACCTGAATCTGGGCACAACCTGTCCAGAAACAGGTTTATTATTTCGCTTGATTTTTGTGAGAACCAGGACTAGGATGTGTCCCCAATGCCGGAAAGAGGGTCTCCTAACTCCATCACCCCTTCCCCTCCCTCCTTTCTTTCAAACCACCTGGAAACTCTGCTGAATAAATAAATCTTTTAACTATAAGTACAGTATGTACACCACTTACAATTCTTGCAAATAAATAAATGATACCACAGCAGGAAAACGGTTGCCTCCAAAAGCAGAAAATAACTAAGTACATTTTTTTAATGCACCATGGAAACTGTTTCCAATGGATACAGCAATTCCTGCAACAAGGCTGGCAGAAAGAAACCAATTATTTCTCCTTCCGTTCAGAGGCCTTGTTTGCCGAGAGAAGACGAAACATCTTTAGATGGCCTTTCCTGGCCCAACCCTGAGCCTCCCGTTCTTCTACCGTCGCAGAATATAGACAGATGATGATGAGAGACACCTGGCCACGAACCAAAGACCTAACCGACTGTGTCTGTCTTCTGCTCAGCTTGCAGAGATGCTTTGTGCAAGCAAAGCCCCTTTGCCGTCTCAAGGGATGTGCGCAAGCGCAGCTTGAGTTAGCAGAAGGGTAGCAGGTCAGAGAGGCTGGGTGTGAACAGCTGTTGGGCAGTTGGAAGGCTAGGCCAGGAATAACCTTCTAGAGTTGTTCTGAGGACGCCTTATGGAGGAGGACAACCGGGTTTTCAGAGTAAGCAGCGCAGCTGGTAGAGAAAAAGGAGTAACCGAAATCCACTTGCTCCTGCTGTCCCTATTTGCCAGGCAGAACCCATTTTCTTGTACCCAGCCCCAGTAAGATGTTGTTCCCATTCTGCTTCAGAGGGATATTTGGGATATAGCCATTTAGAAGGTTGTGATAGTGTGCAGGGTCTCTGGAGACGAAGGGCCCATGCTTTTCCTGAAGATATAACCAGCTGGGAGTCGGCAGATTTCAAGAGAAGTTCCACTACATTGGAAGAATGTGAGCTATGGCACTACCTTGGCAGGCAAAGCTGGCAAAATTACCAAGGGTGGAGTTGTGGTTGGGCAGCGTGCATGGCCCTGGCACTGAATTTTGTGGGTGCCCGGCCCCTTCAAGGGGGTATTTTGTGGGTGCTCGGGCACCCAAGGAGTTGGCACCTACGGTACCTGACATTTCCAACATTTGGGGATCATTGGATCTGGACTGTTTTCACACACAAATACTCCATCCTGTAAAATTCCATCGCTTATATTTCATCTGCACAATCAGAATGAATTTCTGGAACCAAATTCCTTTTTTCTGTGAAGCCTGAGCGGTCACCGCTAACAAAAAGAAGTCGGAATGGGCCAATATATATATGGACTGTCGTTGGATCAAGTGACTTTTCTTCTTTTAAGTTCTCAAAGCTCTTAACCTAGCTCAAGGTTGTCAACTGGACCAGTCAGATGAATCAATCACAGTCAGTCCATCATTTGAAAAATAAGACTTTAGAGCCGTCTTGCCCCAAAATGGCAACTGGACTTTCAACTGGAACCTTGGTTTAAGGGGGCCATTTGGCTCCTAGGCAAATGAGTTTCTAACACTGCACCGGAGGGTGGGTTTCAAGGGATCCCTCCTCCCCCTCTTTTCCAGCAGGGCAGAGGAAAAGATGAAAGATTGTAATTTACTGTTCAATATTAAATTGCCTCCCCTTACCAGCAACGGTGGCTAACTGGCTCTTTTCCCTTTAAAATAAAAGCAGCTGCATTAAGCATGTTTTTAAAGAACTTAATGTGCAGTTTGACCCTGAATGTAGTCCACCTGCTGGGGGGAAAACAACAACCCAGCACTATGCATTCCCAGGTGTGAACACTACAGTTTTAAGACATGCCCTCTAGAATACCCTTTTCAGAGGTAGATACCACTGCCTGAGTGTATTCATAAGAGCATGGCCTCAGAGGAACAGCATAGTCAAACTCTCATAAACACAAAGGGAACGGCAAGATATTACATGTTTCAGTTAATACAGTTGTGTCACTTAATACAACAAATAGCACCTGGCTTCCCAGAGGCTTCTGCCTCCACTTAAGGGGAAGAACAGATGAAGGCAAGAACCCCAGAGCTTCCCCAGGGCTGAGTACTCAACAACAGCAGCACCACATCAACATACTAAAATCCTGTGCTCAGATCCAAGTTCTGTACAGTCATATCTCAGGTTACAGACGCTTCAGGTTGAGTTTTTTCAGGTTGCAGACCGCCAAAACCCGGAAGAACCGGAACGGGTTACTTCCGGGTTTCAGCGGCCGCGCATGCGCAGAAGCGCTAAATCGTGCTTTGCGCATGCGCAGAAGCGCTGAATTGCAACCTGTGTGTGTGCAGACACGGGTTGCGAACGTGCATCCCACACAGATCACGTCTGCAACCCGAGCGTCCACTGAATTCTGCGACTTACATAGGCATTTAAACACTCATCATCTCAACCGTGGGAGAAGTTGAGTCGAACCTGCCGGGTCCATCTCCTCCATCCCATCACCAGGCCAAGCTCAGCAGACCTCTGTGACTGCCAGCCTCAGTGAAGGATGGGTGCTGGATAATGTGAACAATTTTACAGGTACAGTAATAGATAAAGCCCGTTATTAATGCAGTTGTTGGCATATTTCTGTCTTGAGAGACAATGGAGTGCGCCTCCAGGGTGAAGCCAATCAGCAGCACCAAAGTGACCTCCCTGGGCGCAAGCCTGGGCAGTGTGCTCCTTGCTGACGGGAATCAAGAGTAGTAATATGTTTGGCACCAGCTTGGCTGGAGGAGTTGCCAGAGGGAGGTGTACAAGGCACCATTCAATCGTCCCCCGTTAACTTTGCTCCCTCCCTCTGATCCTGCTCACTTAGGCTCCTTGTGTTAGTTTTTAAGAAGCTTGCACAGAGGAGCCAATTGCTGCTTTGCAGGTCCTCAAAGAGCGCAACTCATGTGGGTATTTTTGCTTGTTGTTTTTTAATTAGTCCGTGCAGTATTTTAAAATATCACTTTTTTGTAAACCATATGCACTGACGGGTGGCTCTATAAATCATCAATTACATAACTTAAAAACTTTTCGAGGTTTTTTTGCACAAATCCAAAGTGCTTCCTGGCAAGCATGCATAGGACTGTTTATTCAGGCAGGTCACTTATTCTATTTGTTGTGGGGGAGGAAGGGAAAGGAGAATGTTAGCCGCTTTGAGACTCCTTCCGGTAGTGATAAAGCGGGATATCAAATCCAAACTCTTATTCTTCTTCTTCTTCTTCTTCTTCTTCTTCTTCTTCTTCTTCTTCCATCAGCCTCAGGTTCTCATCAGCATTACAACAGTAGTAATACTCAGTGGCGTAGCGTGGGGGGTGCAGGGGGGGCCGGCCGCACCGGGCACAACATCTGGGGTTAGGGCAAATCCACGGGTTAGGGGGCGCAAATCCACAGGTTAGGGGGCGCAAATCCACGGGTTAGGGGGCGCAAATTACTCGCCTTGCCCCGGGTGCTGACAACCCACGCTACGCTGCTGGTAATACTGTTAGCTGTTGTAAAGATGACTGGGAATCGTACAGGTCACACTGAATGGGTGATAGGTTTCCCCACGTGGATAGGCTTGCAGATCATTTCATGCAGTCCTCGCACAACTGGAGTGTGTGGAATTCCTGCTGCAATGGCTCATGTGCCAGGAAGAGAAGGTGACCACAAATGGGCCCAAGATAGCAACTGACAGTGAACCAAGAAAAGAAGCAGAGGCATCCGGCACCTCTGACATTTTCTCGTCCTTCTGGCACACAATCCTGACACATTCCTCCTACCCCATTCCTCCCACAAGAAGGAGCGCTACTACACACTGACTTCCACATGTGAGCCGGCCTCACTCCTTTTGAGTCTGGGCACTCGGCTGTCTTTTTGCTGGAAACACAGCTGGACAACTCAGTTGGCTGCAGCGCGAGGTTGCAGGTTCGATCCCCGTAAGGGTCAGCTGCATATTCCTGAACTGCACGGCGTTGGGACTGGCTGATCCTCAGGATCCCTCCCAACTGTATGATTCTACGAGATCAACATGGCTGGCAGCTGCCATTCCGGAACATTCCCAACCCTGCAACTCGAGATCTCTTCACCCACAATTATTATTATTATTGCAAACTTCTCTTTTCCAAAACAGACGTCTTGCAGAAAGGATAAAACATTTCAAACTATAAAAGCAAACTATTTTCAGAACTTGATGGCAACAGCGAACTTGTAGAAACGGTGCCCCTCCAAGGTCAGTTGTCGTGCGCCCCTCTAAGGTCGGCGTCCTAGGCTTGCATGGTCTTGCCCATGGGCACGCGGCGGATCCGGCCGCCCGTTCCCCTTGGCAGCAAGTCCCGGGGACCCGATTACGAGCAGCCCCGCCTGGGACGCGCACCAGAAGCTCCTTCGCGGCTACTCACCCGCCGGCCGCGAGGTGCAGCGCGGTGCTCCGTCGGGGCATCCTTCCTCTGTGCCGCGCAACGCCAACGCCGCCGCTCTCCCCGCTCCGCCGCGCCTTCTCTTCCGTGCGCGCCGTCGAGAACCAGCCACGGCTCCCTCGCCGATCTTTGCGCGCAGGCGATCCCGTGAGCGCTCCGAGGCGGGTGCCGCGTGCGCTGCGCCCTCCGGCTTCCGGATGAGTCCCGAGCAGCTCCGCCCTCGTGCCCGGCCCCCGAAACCCCACTCCGCCCTCTCGCCGCCGCTTGCTCCGCCTCCGATCACAGCCGAATTGCTCCGGTTTCCCGAAGCGCTGGCTGGGTATGAGACGCCCAGAGCTTGGCTGGCTTCGGAGAAGTGCCAGAGGGGTCGCAGGTCTACTTGAAATGCCGCCCTCTCTGGCGCAACTCTGCAAACTAAGTTGCATTATTCACTTTTTTGGTGCACCGCCCGGGAATCTTTTGCTGACGGCGGGCAGGGAAGAAATGTACGTAGCCAGCAAATCATTAGCTCTGCCTTTTTTTCCTTTTAAAACACAGTGATTTTGTACCCTAGCCAGACCTTCCACGTGTCCCCGTTTTTCAGAAGTCTTGCCCGTTTCTGATTTGATCCAGGAAAGTCCCCACTTTAGCTTAGGACGTCCTCTGCAAGGAGGAGGCGCTGCTGGTCTCCTCACGTCCTGTTCCTGATGCAGATCTTCCTCAGCCCTTTTCCCAGGGGAGTGAAGCTCCTTTTTGTGGTTCTAAGATGTCTTGAAAAGCATCTTAAAGAGCAGAGACATCACCTTGCCAACAAAGGTCCGTATAGTTAAAGCTATGGTTTTCCCAGTAGTGATGTATGGAAGTGAGAGCTGGACCATAAAGAAGGCTGATCGCCAAAGAATGGATGCTTTTGAATTCTGGTGCTGGAGGAGACTCTTGAGAGTCCCATGGACTGCAAGAAGATCAAACCTCTCCATTCTGAAGGAAATCAGCCCTGAGTGCCCACTGGAAGGACAGATCCTGAAGCTGAGGCTCCAATACTTTGGCCACCCTATGAGAAGAGAAGACTCCCTGGAAAAGACCCTGATGCTGGGAAAGATGGAGGGCACAAGGAGAAGGGGACGACAGAGGACGAGATGGTTGGGCAGTGTTCTCGAAGCTACTGTACAAACATGAATCTGACCAAATTGCGGGAGGCAGTGGAAGACAGGAGTGCCTGGCGTGCTCTGGTCCAGGGGGTCACGAAGAGGCGGACACAAGTAAACAACAACAAGATGTCTTGGGCTGCTGAACATTATAGTGCTGGGATGGCTTTGAGCCCAGCCACTGAAGTGTGCATAAGTGTCACATACAGTATTCAAGTGAAACTGCTCCTGCAAATGCAGAGGAATCTATTTGTTTCAGAACTACACTGTGGAGCAAGAGAAGTTGACTTAGCTGGTTGGTTAACTATTATTTTGGAATCTTAATTTAAAAAAATTAAAAATGAAACACCCTGCCCTCTAGTGGCCGCTGGTCACATTCAAACTACTGTACACTGGAAAGAATATGGGATGTCATGTTCGGAAACTACCTGCCATCTGGGTTGGCAGAAATTACGAGGGGAAACCAACCATTAAAGTCTCCCTTCCTCCCCTAGTGAAGAGCGGCTAGTCATTAAAAAGACGGCAGAAGCCACAGGGAGGTAATTTCAGCAGGACACCTCTGCTGAATGAGATTTCATTCTGAGTATCAAAAGTTATTGGCCCTGGTGTATGGCAATGTCAGATAACAGAGGCCTGTAGAAGCACCACTTTAGTTCCAGCAGAATTGGGGGGGGGGGGGTTGCAGCACCTCAGTAGTGCAAACATGGAAATGTCCCTTCTCTGTTTCTCTGTAAGCAAACATTCCAAGATATAGCATGAAATGGGCTTTGATAGACCTCCCAAAGAATTTTTTTCTCATTGAATGAAATGGGCTTCTGTAGATTAATCTGACCAAGGACTGTTGGTTTAACTCAGGGTTTCCCAAGCTTGGGTCTCCAGCTGCTTTTGGACTACAATTCCCATCATCCCTGACCAGGGACAGATTTAGGTTTGATGAGGCCCTAAACTACAGTGGTACCTCAGGTTAAGTACTTAATTCGTTCCGGAGGTCCATTCTTAACCTGAAACTGTTCTTAACCTGAAGCACCACTTTAGCTAATGGGGCCTCCTGCTGCCGCCGCGCCGCCAGAGCCCAATTTCTGTTCTTATCCTGAAGCAAAGTTCTTAACCTGAAGCACTATTTCTGGTTTAGTAGAGTATGTAACCTGAAGCGTATGTAACCTGAAGCGTATGTAACCCAAGGTACCACTGTACTGAAGGTAATGGGGCCCTTTATGTGTCCAGCTGTCCTTTGTCAACAACAAATTGTTGCTGTTTTTTGTGATATTTTAGGGAGCAGGCTAGCAGGCGAGCCCATTACTTACATCATAGGAGCCTACACAACACAAAACATTGTTGCTGTACGTAGGTTTTATTTTATTTGTTTTTTGTCTTATATTTTGGAAATGTACATCCAGGTGTTTTGTTCCCTTAAAATATTTTGTGGGGCCCCAAGAGAGTGGGGCCCTAAGCTATAGCTTGTTTAAAAGGTAAAGGTGCCCCTGCCCGTACGGGCCAGTCTTGACAGACTCTAGGGTTGTGCGCCCATCTCACTTAAGAAGCCGGGGGCCAGCGCTGTCCGGAGACACTTCCGCGTCACATGGCCAGCGTGACATCGCTGCTCTGGCGAGCCAGCGCAGCACACGGAAACGCCGTTTACCTTCCCGCCAGTAAGCGGTCCCTCTTTATCTACTTGCACCCGGGGGTGCTTTCGAACTGCTAGGTTGGCAGGCGCTGGGACCGAACAACGGGAGCGCACCCCGCCGCGGGGGTTCGAACCGCCGACCTTTCGATCGGCAAGCCCTAGGCGCTGAGGCTTTTACCCACAGCGCGCTACACAACACAAAACATTGTTGCTGTACGTAGGTTTTATTTTATTTGTTTTTTATCTTATATTTTGGAAATGTACATCCAGGTGTTTTTTCCTTAAAATATTCTGTGGGGCCCCAAGAGAGTGGGGCCCTAAGCTATAACTTGTTTAGCTTATATCTAAATCCGGCACTGTCCCTGACCACTGGTCCTGTTAGCTAGGGATGATGGGATATAGTCCAAAAACAGCTGGAGACCCAAGTTTGGGAAACCCTAGTTAACTCTTCCACGCTTAAAAAGTTTGCTCTTTTTCTAGCTCAGAAGGCTGATCCCAGGTTTGCTAGATCTTGCTGAGTCTTCTGCCCAGGGCAGAAGGCGACCACCTCAGGCAGTAGGATCCTCAAGAGCCGCAGATCCCAGTATCAATCTTTCTTCCTGTCTTGATCCTGGTGTAGATCTTCACTCACCCCCTTCTTCCCTGGCAGGGAGGGTGCACCATTTTGGGGTTTGCCGCAAGTGCCAAAACACCTTAGGCTGACCCAGCTTTTACCACTGGACTGTTTATATCTGCCTACGCATTTTGTACCAGCTGATCCGGCAAAGTCTTTATTTCTCGCTGACTGGATTTGACCTCTCCCTCTGACTAGGTTGTACTTTGTTCTCCAGAACAGATTAACATGCCTGGTTCGTCTGTCGGTAGTGAAATGTGGCCCCTTTGAATCTTTTGTGAGCATCTCCCGGCCGCTTGGTTCACAACGAGGTCCCTGTCTCACAGTTAGTCCCAATTACTGGTCTTCCCCAGGCTGGTGCCCTGCAGCCCTTTAGGCAAGGCAAGAGGGAATCTGCTCATCTCTCTCTGGTACAGTTCTCCTTGGGAAGCACTTCCATTTAAAAAGGGCTTTTCAAGAGGTCTAAAAGGAAGACCTCACAACCTTGATGGCAGAAAGTGAGGAGGAATTAAAGAACCTTTTAATGAGGGTGAAAGAGGAGAGCGCAAAATATGGTCTGAAGCTCAACATCAAAAAAACGAAGATCATGGCCACTGGTCCCATCACCTCCTGGCAAATAGAAGGGGAAGAAATGGAGGCAGTGAGAGATTTTACTTTCTTGGGCTCCATGATCACTGCAGATGGTGACAGCAGCCACGAAATTAAAAGACGCCTCCTTCTTGGGAGAAGGGCAATGACAGGCCTAGACAGCATCTTGAGAAGTAGAGACGTCACCTTGCCAACAAAGGTCCGTATAGTTAAAGCCATGGTTTTCCCAGTAGTGATGTATGGAAGTGAGAGCTGGACCATCAAGAAGGCTGATCGCCGAAGAATTGATGCTTTTGAATTATGGTGCTGGAGAAGACTCTTGAGAGTCCCATGGACTGCAAGAAGATCAAACGCATCCATTCTTAAGGAAATCAGCCCTGAGTGCTCACTGGAAGGACAGATCGTGAAGCTGAGGCTCCAGTACTTTGGCCACCTCATGAGAAGAGAAGACTCCCTGGAGAAGACACTGATGCTGGGAAAGATGGAGGGCACAAGGAGAAGGGGGCGACAGAGGACGAGATGGTTGGATAGTGTTTTTGAGGTTACCAGCATGAGTCTGACCAAACTGCGGGAAGTAGTGGAGGACAGAGGTGCCTGGCGTGCTCTGGTCCATGGGGTCACGAAGAGTCGGACACGACTAAACGACTAAACAACAACAAAAGGAAGCTTCTCCACTATAAGTGTTTGTGCCTCAAGTTACCAACCTCTGCATGTACTTTTCTTAAGATGATACAGGCCTGTGTCACATGGCAAGACCTTTATTTACATTAGCACCCCCTCTAAAGTACCATCCCTTCCAACATTTCTCTACTGAAAATAGGGACATCCTATTCCATCATCATCATACTATTTACACCGCTTGCTATCATCTGCCTGTTCTGCCATTGAGGACTTCTTTGAAGACACTCGAACTCAGGACGCAAGGGAGAAATGTGCTAGGAGGAAGGCACGCTTGGCAAATCCACCGAGAAGGCCCTCTGCCTGGTTCCCTGTAACTTCACATCTCGCAGTGATGGAAACATAATAAAACATGTTTTAAAACTTCTCCATCTAACTCAGTACGGGACGCGAGTGGTTAAACCACAGAGCCTAGGACTTGCTGATCATAAGGTCGGCGGTTCGAATCCCTACGACTGGGTGAGCTTCCGTTGCCCGGTCCCTGCTCCTGCCAGCCTAGCAGTTCGAAAGCACGTCAAAGTGCAAGTAGATAAATAGGTACCACTCCGGCGGGAAGGAAAACGGCGTTTCCGTGTACTGCTCTGGTTCGCCAGA